GTCGGAACCGGAAGAATCGGACTACTATAACATATAGCTCCCATACAACTGATTGTTCAGATATGATATTACTTACAGTGAAAATTACAAAGATCGGGTCACTATAACATATATCTCCCATACAACTGATTGTTCAGATATGATATTACTTACAGTGAAAATTACAAAGATCGGGTCACTATAACCTATAGCTCCCATGCAACAGATATAAGATTTTTCGTTATAACTCCTCCATCTATGCACCTGGGATCATGAAATTTCGCACCGCTTTCACTCAATATTAATAGAATGCTTACAGTGAAAATAACAAGGATCGGGTCACTATAACATATATCTCCCATACAACTGATTGTTCAGATATGAGAATTTTCGTTATACCACCTCTATTTATGCAACTGGGATCATGAAATTTCGCACCGCTTTCACTCAATATTAATAGAATGCTTACAGTGAAAATAACAAGGATCGGGTCACTATAACATATATCTCCCATACAACTGATTGTTCAGATATGAGAATTTTCGTTATACCACCTCTATTTATGCAACTGGGATCATGAAATTTCGCACTATTTCCACCCATTATCAAAAGAGTACTTACAGTGAAAATGGCGAAGATTTGGTTGCTATAACCTATAGCCTCCATACAACTGATTGTTCAGATATGAGATTTTTTTTTTTGTTATACTTCTCCATTTATTATATATTTTCACTCATTATCAACAAAAAGTTTACAGTAAAATAAACAAAGATCGGGTCACTATAACCTATTTATTGCCTCCATACAACTGATTGTTCAGATACGGGGGTTTTCCTGTAAAACTCCTTTAATTGGACAGCTAAAACCGATAAATTTCGTAAGCTATTTTATAAATAATAATACAAAGCCTACTGAGAAAATCGTCAAAATCTATGCTGTATAAGCTTTATCTCCTATACCACTGATTGTTCAGATACCAGTTTTTGCGATATATCTCCTTTATTTAGGAAGCTAAACCCATTAAATTGTGTTACCGGTTTACATACCGATCACACAGCAGTGAAAATAACTTAGATTGGTACTATATAAAGTATATCTTCCATACCTCTGATTGCTTAGATACGATTTTTATACCCGAGCGCACTTGTGCACAAGGGTATATTAATTTTGTTCACATAACGGTTGTTTGTAACAGCCAAAACGAATTGAGATAGATATAGACAAATGTATACATAAATGCTCAGAATGAATAGAGAAATCGATTAAGCCATGTCTGTCTGTCCGTCCGTCTGTCCGTCTGTCCGTCCGTCCGTGTACACGATAACTCGAGCAAAAATTTAGATATCTCAACAAAATTTGGTATGTTGGTTTCTGTTAATCCAAGGTAGGTTGGTATTGAAAATGGGCGAAATCGGACTGTAACCACGCCCACTTCCCATATAACGGTAATTTCCAGAAATACGAAAACTGCGATATTTTAGTAACTACTGAA